TGGATAGTATCTATTAAACGATTGCGCGGACTCAGACATTGTATGAGTGATTGCATGAGTGATTATGGGAGTGGATAAGGAACCATCATGCAACAGAGGAAGGTGCAGTAAGTGAGGGCAGGAATTTTGAAAGATGTCAGCTCACCGGACAGTGGCCGTTATCGCATCTGGAAATGCAGGAGTAACGGCAAGGGACGCTTATGAGAACCCATTGTTTTGCCAAGAAATGGCAGATGGACCAGCACGGCTTCACTCACACCAAAAAAGGAGCAGGGAGAGGGGCTTAATGATTAGGAAAGGTAGGACGGGGGTATTTTTACAATGTATGGACTCGTGAAGCAGCAATGGAAGTTTCACACATGCCCTACTGCCCACTTGGAATATACGTTTGAAAGGTGTGGGCAGAGAGAATTAGGGTGACCATGAAACAACCATTACTTTTCACAGGCAAATTTCTTAGACGAGGTCATGCACATGCCGCTTCTTCAGGGATGTACCGTCCTGCCACATGGAGGAAAATACATCCACGCTAAATCATTGCCATCCAGGCACAACTGTTGCCTGCATAGCCCCGTTTTGCATGTATGAATAACGCACCGCTTGGCAGGCTGGTACATCCTGAAGCATGCGGCTCGAGGCATCCCGCGTCAGAGAAATTTGGCTAGGAAAAGTACTGGTGGTTAAGTATTGGAACAGGGGAGGTGACATGTGGACATTCCTTACCTGTTCTTTCCGGTAGGAGAATGGAAGACATGATGATGGCGTCATTTCATGATACTATGATCAACTTATCGAGGTGTAGCAGGCCGCATGAATAAACGAAAGCAATAGAAGTGTAGGTGGAAAGAATGCTGGGTAGAGCCCACTGTATGACGCATGGGTTCGCAAAGTAGTGGAATATCAAACAGCAAATGTCAGAAATACAACTCACAGTCTGAGTTTTTTTCCATCCACTTCTGGAAGCCTCCACACAACGGCTCCAGCTATAAGCTTGTCGTCCTTCTCAAGAGTGCCTGACCATTCCGGACCTGCAAACAACCATCAAGGTCATACCAAAACAAATGTTATGCAACAACGAAAAACAAAAATGCCTTTTCCAGAAAGTTTCAAGCACAACAAATCAGACTGAACCAGCCAACAGAACACAATATTCACACACTATGGTACCATAGTGTTTGACAAGCAAGAAGATGTGGCATTCTTTGCTTCTGTGCTGATAGGGATTGTCAAGGGTTGAGATCATGACAAGCCACTAGCCATTCTCTTTTTTCAAAGGGTTCGTCCCCAACATGGTTGTGACTATCTAATTCCATCAAGACTCCAACTCATGGTCTGTTTATTAGCAGCGACATGTAAACTATTCAGCCAACCTCGATTGAGAGAGGAGTCCATCTACTTTAACAGAAATTTCTCATGAAGAGGACTTAGTACCATAGTGTTTGACACATCTAGTGTTGGCACCAGCATCCCTGCTTAGCCCATCAACCTTGTAGCCTGCACCAGTTGGAACCTCTCAGAACCTCGTACCAAAGTTTTTGTAAAGATGAGCAACCATGTCAGGCTCAAGATTTTCCGGGAGAGCAACCTTGTCAGGCTCAAGATTTCCGGAGAACTTCAGAACTGTCCAGTGGACATTAGGTAGCTTTACAAACACACCAATTAATTACTCCAGGACCTGAAAGCAGTGTTCTTGTGAACAGGAACAAGTGTCCTGAGGGAGCTTCAGAAACAATCTACTTATTATGACACTACTACTTCCCCCTTTTCCTCGAGGACCTCCATCACCCTCCTATGGCAAATATTTCCCCCTCCTTCCTCCCCATGCCATTAGGACTCTTATCCTCTCCCACCTAGTTATTTCCCTCGTTTACCTCTCCTGTTGCAACTCTCTCTCTCTCTCTCTCTCTCTCTCTCTCTCTCTCTCTCTCTCTCTCTCTCCCCACACACACACAAACACACACTCACACATGTTCATGATTTCTTTGAATGTCCTCACCACTTGCCCTCTCTACTACTGTGCTGTCCTACAGCTACAACGCCCTGCGCCGTCGACTACTGCCTCACAAGTTATTGTTCACACCTATAGGATCTTGGCACAGAATAATACAGCAATGCTTCCGCTTAAGCCAGAATTCAAGAAGAGGAGGTTCCTGGCACAGGCCTCCCTCATGTGCTTGTGTTGGGTACCTCCTCACGTGGCTCATGGCTTCTTCTGGCAGGCCCTGCCGTGGCTGGCAAAGATTCGCACTGTCCCCAAGGCCTTTCCTAGGACTACTATCGAGACTGGACATGTGGTGACCGCCTGTCTACTGACTGCTAGGGACTTCAGCCTTATCCTCCAGAATTCCGATTTTGTTTGCTACAGTACTTACTGTAAGAGTTACAAGTACGACCCTATGATATAAAAGAAAACGGGACACGGTACTGCAATATTCAGGGTAGGCTGCTGAGGCGTGTGAACCTTTCCACTCCTCCCGCCTTAACTTCGAGGCCCTCCAAGAAGAAGAGCTGCTTTTGGCCAAGTTTCCTAGTGAAACCATGCAACCATTGCGTGGCAGTGTAGGAAGGAAAAAATGGGGATATATACAAAAGGGACTACATTCTGAGAATTAAAGAGCCTGATCTCAAGAGAGGTACGGTGTGTCTTAGAATTGTGGAGTTGAAGGGTGTCAGGACAGGATAGGGCATACAATTACCATCAGGGTTGGAACCGTCTGCGGAAAGTCCAGATTCAGAATGTAGTACCCGCTAGGACAGGGTACCAACAGGTCTCCTGCTGGCAGTGTGGAATGCTCGAAACACTGGCCCCTCTGGTGGGGCTGCTCTCAATGGTCGTGCGGTAGGGGCTCCATTGACCATCGCCAACATGTGCAACCTTCTTTAACAAACAAAAAAAGAAATCAGCACTCCCTGTGAGGCTATAGGAGTTTGGCAGTGGTGGTTTGCCAAGAGCTATTCTCTTGAACGCAAATGCCAGGAAAATGCGCGATAGCGAAGTGATAGAAATCCAGAATGCAAAATCACATTGAAAGCCAAAAAGTCGAACACTGTCCAGAAAGTAGACATACACTCACATTCACCAACGGAGAACCAAAGCACCGAATTCAAATGTCAATGAGAGGATACTCTCGCCACCATCAACATATGTATCCAAAGCCCTTCCTCCTACTTGGTGCACACCGCCCAGACTACGATCACACAGCTACAACTCAGCCTACGAATTAACAACGCAACCTGTTGACGTCAGCAGTGAGAACCGAAGTACATGAAGATGTCGACACTTTAGACCATCGCCAAAATCGGGTACGTACCCTCACATCATCAACTTCATCTCTCTCTCTCTCTCTCTCTCTCTCTCTCTCTCTCTCTCTCTCTCTCTCACCCTCGACTACTACACCCACGTCTTCTCCGTCATACATGAAGACCACCACCTCCGCTGGCCGTCCAAGCCGAGCCCAGCTATGGATGGGCTGGCTGTGGCGCTGCCCTCAATAGCGCCCTGCACCGTGTGCTAATGCAGCAGCCCGCAAGCGCTGGCTCCAGCAGCGCTGCTGCATCTGCACGCAAGTGCCCGAATGCATCCCTCGACGCCCACACTTTCCTATATCGAAAGTGTGGGCACACTGCCTGCTCTTCTACGTTGGGACCGAGTTTCCAGTAGCTTCACTCTCGGCCGAAGTGTCTGCACCCAAGCCCGTTCAGACAGTGGCCAGGGACCGAATTGGTTAAGCGTGCCCAACCACCCAGGCGCAAACGTGCGATGTTCCCCGCTTTCGCCACGTTGCTGAAAGAGCCTGGTAGGCTCACAAATATTTTGGATTCTCATGAGCGAGGCGGATGTTACCAAATGGCGCGTGGGAACTGTGTGGCGCCCACCAAGATTTGCAAAAATTGACCCGCTGAGCTGCCAGTCCCCAGTGCGAAAGCTAATCAGCTGCGATCGCAGAGGTGGACCAGTCGAGGGTGTTTCTCGTTCGCTGTAGCATAGGGGGTATGCGCGGTATTACGCCTCTATCGGACCCGTTAGCGAACCGACGTCTTAGGAGGTTGACGTCCCAAGCGTGACTCGTCGCCGGTCGACTAGGACGCATCCCACGCACCACGCATACACCACTGTAAGAATTAAACACACACACACACACATACTCATACACGAAACATCACAAAACAAACTACGCACCACGCTCCTACTCCCTCGGTAGCCATCCCATAACTTTCCAATGCGGAAATCAGACAGGCGTCGCAAGGCGTCGCGCGCGAGACTTACTATAAAACCGCGCAGGCGTAGGGCTAACTCATATTGACTCGCAATGCAACCTTTATGCAAGCAGTCGCAAGGATGGCGTACTATGCCCTCGTGGATCCGAGTACCGCTTATGACATTGAAGTGTCAGACTCAAAGTGTCGTGAGGGTCTACTCCCTCATGATATTGCATGGCTGAAGGAATAGCCGTGTAGCCGCCGCGAGACCTCCAGCCTTTGGCCTGGGTGTCTCGGCAGGCAAGGCAAATAGGCTCTGCACGGGGAAGATTCCTTCCATGCAGAGTCTAGGGCCTGGGATGTCCTGGACAAGGACCTCGAATCCTGGCCCAAGACCAACGTCCGACTAAGAAATCATTAAGAAGTATACAATCAAAAGAGGACTTTTCCTTCTTTTCTCAACCTCAACCCCTAATTAAGTCCTTACTACGCGGGTCCCCCAGTCCACGAGAATACCCAATACAGATACACACCTATATATATATATATATATAAAGGGGAATAAGTATGTGACGATCACTTCTCACAATCACAGTGGGACTCCTCACAGCCATATATATGTTTGTGATTGCAGGCAGTCAAATCCAAATCCGAACCACAGTGCATACCTGCAATCACATAAAAGAGACAAACAAAGTCCACGCACTACACGGAATCAACTCCAACCAATCCTCATACTCGTGCCCCTCGCTCTAGCCATGCAAGCCCCCCGCCTTTGTCCAACCAACCATAATTAAATACTCAGTACCTTTGTTAAATGGCCATTCAATAAAAGTCCGGGTGAAAACCTTAATAAAACAACAAAAATCACCAAGGCTAAAGCCTTTTAGGCAGAGTATCGAGGGTGAATTGGAGTTGAGTCGTAGACCGACGAATCGACAACCAACTTGTTCTCAGTGATAACAGAAAGTGATCCTTGAAGGATCAAGCTGAATCTAGTCCTGATTCCGAATCAAACGATCAAGAAGACCTATAATACACGACATGCCAATCCCCAGGCTAAAATCAAAAGTGTATGGAGAACACAGCTCCATAACACATTCTCACCCAAGACTCTTCTACAAGCTAAGCCTAGACCTGCCTCTAAGCTAGCCCCCAACACAAGGCAAACCTATGGCAGCATTTCCCCTATTCAAGGTGGACTGCCAGAATTGCCACCTGTCAAAATATAATTTAACTCCTCCAAACTAAGAAAATTTCGACAACCCTTCCCGTAGGAAAAGTGTCTTCTCAAAATTTATAATAACTCAGATATGAATACAAAAACAATCCCTAACTCTGAAAAGTCAAAATTTATCCAACTCCCCGAATTGGTAAAAATTTGGGGAGCACTTCCTTTAGAAAGGGAGACTTCCCAGATTTATACTAAGTCAGATATGAACTTAGAAAACGAGACATGAGTTCAACTAAGACAAAATTTAACTAACTCCTTAGATTTGTAGAAATTTCGGCAACGCTTCCCGTAGAGAAAGTGTTATTCCAAAATTTATACAAAGCTAAATTCAAAATTTAAAATGACTTTTGACCTTTCAAGGTCTAATTCTGTCTAACTCCCTAAATTAGCAAATATTTGGGCAGCACTCCCTTTAGAAAAGGAGGCTTTTCAAATTTTTACTAAGCCAAAAAGTAAGGAAAAATTGAACCTTGAAAAAAAGACAAAATCTAACAAACTCCTTGGTTTTGTAAAAATTTTGGCAGCGCTTCCCGTAGAGAAAGTGGCTTACTAAGATTTATACAAGACCGAGTATAATAAAAGATCGCAGAAAAT